AAGTATACCTATCTGTTTTTCTTTTCAACCAATTACTCAGAATTACTCACCTATGGCTTGGAAGACAAGTAACTGAAGAAAGTTTGAATCAGTCTCAGTTTTGTCATTTCTGAGAGCTAGTCCTTGACGAACAAGAAACTGTAGATATGACAGGATTTTCAGAAGACATTGTCTGTTCTCCTTTCTAGTTTCATCAAACTCTGTTGACAGCAAGTAACCAATGTCTTTTGCATGCAGAGGCAATACAATTACTCTTTCAACTGCTTCTTGATGACTTTTACTCTTTTCATGTTTCTCAAATTTCTCAGTAGCCTTCATTCAGTATCCGTCAAAAATGAAAGCTTTCTCTGTGCAAGGGTTAGAGGTAATTTTCTTTGATTGCTTTTATGCAAATGAAACAAAAGACACTATCTGAGTGTTCATGATAATGAAGCCACTTCCATTTATGGAACCACCCAGTCTGGCATGTTCACTTGTGAGTACCAATCTTATGTTTAGGAAATAGTTTTTGTGGTTGATGTGGTTGGTTACCAACATCTGGAATGTTTGTTTCCTTTGCATCAACATGCTTGGACTTTTAAATTCGTCACTTTTGATTGATTCCCTTGAGTCTTCACTGACATTGAAATCAGAAACAGATGGTGTACATGTGTTTTCATTCATTGATTCATTTTTACTATCTTTTCCTTGCTGAGCAGTTGAATGTTTCTTGACACCTCGTTGAAAATTGTCAAAAATGCTTTTCTTTCTCTTGTCCTCAACATGTTGTTCATCTACTTTACAGCTGCGTTTATCTTGTACTTGCAATTGTAAGCATATGAACAAGGGTACAAAATGATTTGGCTGTCTGCTGTCAAACATGCTGTCTCGAGTCCATAAAATGTACAGACTACGAGGTTCTGAACACATTACAGTTCCATTCAAAACTGACCTCATTGCATATTGGACATCAGGGTATATACACAATCTCACAGTACTCCTTCAGCACCTCTCCTAATGCACACATATGCAGAAATGAGCACCATGCTTGTCACGGCAGTTCTTTTGAGCTTCAAATAATATTGCTCTCTCAAAATCCTTTGATTCATCAAATATTCTCAAACTCTCATCTGAAAGCAGCAAGTTTATGTCAAATCGATGTTACTCTACTTGCACTGCACTACGAAAGTGATGTTAAATGGATATGTGACACCTCGGTGCCAACATATTCAGCTGTAGTACAGACGCCGGCTACGTTCACTGTCTATAAATAGCTATTTTTTCATAATTAACGAAATTATTATTACTTTCTTATTTTGCACCAACACATCGTTATAAAGAATCAAGTTTTGTTTCATTTCATCTCATTTGCACAATCTACTGACTGCAGGAGTGGTATAAGGCCTCTTTCAGCATCCAAGACCGTCCACGCAGTGGACGACCTTCAGTAACATCGCAACGTTAAGACCGACAGATTGTGAGCAACCATCTGCAGGATTGCTTCACCAGAGCGACGGAAACAGCACGCCAGACTAATATTGAGACTTACTAGCGCCGATACAGTGCTTCGACGTTTGCGCGGAAGAAACCTCTGATGTCACAGACAATATCGTGGTCCTGCTCTCACCGCTTGTCACCGCCCAAACCGACTGCAATTGGTCTGAACCACAGAGAGGTGGCACTGTGGTGTTCGCGAATCTTGGTCTAGCTACTCGTTGTATTGACCAAGTCATACGACCCCACGTTGTACCACATTTTGGACGTCATAGAAATCACATCTTCCAACAAGACAACGCTCGTGCCCACACTGCCAGAGCAACATTGGGTTTCCTAAGACAACATGGCATCCAACCCCTAAAAGTACTTGCACACAGTCCCGATTTAAGTCCAATAGAACACCTTTGGGACGAGATTCAAAGAATACTGAATGACCTCCAACCAAGGCCGACAACTGCGGCTGGACTCGATCAGGCATTTCCCAGAGTATGGACTCAAGTGCCTATGGCCTTTATCAACCGGCTAATTCATTCCATGTACAGACGACGCAACGCCGCCATCGATGCCCATGGACATTACACACGATACTGACTTTAAAGTATCCTAATGGTACAATTTTTGGTGATTGTGTTTATGTGAACTCTAAATGTGATTTCCAAAAGTCACGAGATTCAAATAAGACTGAATCAAGGCCGACAACTGCGGCTGGACCTGATCAGGCATTACGCAGAGTATGGACTCAAGTGCCTATGGCCTTCATCAACCGGCTAATTCAATCCATGTACAGACGATGCAACGCCGTCATCGATGCCCATGGCCGTTACACACGATACTGACTTTAAAGTATCCTAATGGTACCATTTTTGGTGATTGTGTTTGTGTGAACTCTAAATGTGATTTCCAAGAGTGTCCTTATGCCGCAGTCTGTCAAGTTTGAACTCAATCCCCCATGCCTTTTTGATTGTTAATTAAAGCAAATTAAAGTGTGTGCTGTTAAACAAAACCCTCTATCACGTGGCGTTTTTTCTTTTGCGGTATATATGTGCAAGTTGATACTTAAGTACCAACAAGTAATGGTAAACTGTCCTTTAAAATTATATTTCCAACAATTCACCCTTTGTGTTCATGGATGTTTATTGAAATATCGATGTAATAATACACTCTCAAACTGACACGGTTTATTTAAAATGAAGAACAACAGACAACAACAGAACAACATCATGTGTTCGATTTTCAGTTGAATGTTTTGTGTACGTTAGCGGTATCTCAATATAACAGAACTGTAGAGGCGCTGAACACAACTCAGATGGTTCCACGTGGTTTTAGTTTTTATAATACTGTTTGACTTAAACATACATCGCAAAACACAAACTGCTGATGGGTGCCTCGAACATCTTATCTTGTTCTAACCAATATGTTAGACAGCAGGGGCGGTGGGGTAGCCTAGTGGTTAAAGCGTTGGCTCGTCACGCCGAAGACCCGGGTTCAAAACCCCACATGGGTACAATGTGTGAAGCCCATTTCTGATGTTGCTGGAAGATTGCTAAAAGCGGCGTAAAACCAAACTCAGTCAGTCAGGTGTTTTCTGACAAAGTCGTTGCCTACAAGGTAAATTGTTAAATGGAAGAGCTGATAATAATAATAATAATAATACTTTATTGCCCGACAAAGGAATTCCTTTTACAACAGTGAGACATAAAGCATGGTTAAAACAAATTAAGCAAAGGACAAAACGATCACCTTAAACACACAAATAAACAGGATGAGAAGGATAACCAGTGTATACTGTAAGAGACTAGTAGTCAAATACATATAAAATTGTGGCTGGGTCTAACATTCATTTAAAAGTCTAATGCTAACAGGTATAAAAGACCATACATTAGACAACTGTTGTGAAATCAAATATTCAACTTGCAGTTGCCTTTTTATGGCATTTGTTTGGGTTTCGTGCGTGTGTTCTAAGCAGGATAAATGTTTATTTTCTGACTACCACAGAAGTAGAGAATGAAGTGACATATGTTTTGTTTGTTCCATAAGCTCCCGTTTTTTCTGGTGACTTGATTTTGCATGTGTTTGTAACAGGTACTAAAGGTCGGGAAATATGTGCTAACCTTTTCCGAAAAAACACTTCAAAGGAACGGGGCGTCTTCTTGATATCTTATTGGTGAAATGCCACACAACTACATTCTAATCCCTATATTTAATCCTGGTCAATTTTGTATAATGTTTGCACTATAAACAGATCAACATTTATTTATGATATTGATTACCTGCTTGATTCTATGGAATATGGAAGGTTAACCCAAGAACATTGTATGCACGATGTGTAACAAGACAACACTGTGTATAACAACACTCTGTGTAAGCATAGGCGGATCCAGGAATTTTCAAAGAAAAAAAAGGGGTGGGGTGGGGTAGAGAGAGAGAGAGGGGGTGGTGGTGGTGGTGCGTTTTGCTGAGACAGACCCTCGTTGGTATGAACCTTGATTTCAAAGGCTTCAGCACAGGTGAATGACACAACGTGAACCCAGTTCTTCTGTGACCATTTTCTGTTAGTACTGATAGCTTAAGCAGATCATCAAAGGTGACAGTGATACGCTGTGGAATATCAATCTGAATGTGCCTGCTAAATCTTTGAAAGGTATTTTGATTATTTCGGAAGAAGAATTTACGTCATTTCGAAAGACAACGAGTCGTATTGGAACCCTTGATAAAGATAGTAGAAGTGAGTGAGTGAGTTAACATTTATCGTCATATCGGCAATATTTCAGCCAAACCGTGGCGAGAACAATCAATTATCATAGTAAACATCACTAAATTTAGAAATTAAAAACCTGTTGACGATGAACAGTAAAAATACTAGAGTATCACAGAGAAGGTAAAACTAGCATGTAATTATAAAACAGGCTATGGATCACCAGCAACCATACTAGGACCCATGAGGACTTACATTACTTTTGCTACCTGCATGTACCCTAGCTGGATTTACATCATACCTTCAGGTGTTGGTGATAGTTTAGCAAAATAGCCATACATTAAATGAACAAATATGCTACCATTTCAATTCAGAAGAAGAAAAATACTTTGAATGAAAAGGGACTTACGTACCCTCTCAGGGGGACATTTATTTTACGCTACTTCAATCCCCCTTTGAAGGTACAGCCACTAACAATCATAGTTATTTATTCCTTCTACCAAATCAAAATCATTTACTAATGACAATACATTTGAAAAAGTATCAATTAACTGATAGTAGAAGTGATTATCGAGGGTGTACCTGATCAGATATAAAGTCAAGGCATGAGGGCCTACCAACAGTGGGATGACGATCGACTTCACGGTGGCGGTCAAAGGATTGAAAATGGAAGCGGGGATATTACTATTCAAATCCAGAGGATCAACATGGTTGTTAACAGATACCTCCGACTAAGGAGCATTGGCTTTTGTTGTTTCAAGTCAACAGAAGACCAGCATTGTGTGAATAGTTGAGTATAAGTCCAGCTTTCAACCATTCTAGCAATTGTCTAGAAGTGATGTTTGACCACCCATCTGTTGCTATAGACTGTTGTGTTGAAGTCAAGACGTCTTTGCAGCTCTTGTGCGACCTTGTTCTGATGCCAGGCCTCAAGGCAGTCGTAAGCAAGGTGGTGATAGTCGTAGAAGAATTTATTTGCAAATAAGAAGGGAGAGGACGTCATTCGCACTAGGTCCCCTACAGAAAAGATACATATGCTGCGAGTAAGCTTCCCGGAACATTTAGTACGTTCGCCCCAGATCTTGTAGCGGACCATCGCTTGGTGGAGCCCATCGTCCACATCTCCTGCATGTGCAAATACACAAGTCAGAATACAGACACACAGACAGCTTCACAAAAAGACAGTCAAGGAACAGGAAACAATTCTGGAGAATTTTGGAATCGTATGTTTCACATATTCAGTAATAACCTTATTTCTTCCTGCAAATACGTTAATTAACATATATTTTTTAGAAGAGTGTGCGTGGAGGGGATACTACTATATGGACCCAAATTACCCTCTAATTTGTTTTTTTACATTTATAGCTTAACGAAAAGCCACGTTAAAATGAGAAGTGTATGTAACTGCAAGAAAAACTATATGTTGAATGGCTGTTTAATCCTTTTACATCCTTGAAATCCAGAAAGTGTAAGAGAATAATAATAGATAATAAGGACATTTGTAATGCGCTGAATTCCGCACCACGGAGGACCACGCACAAAGCGCTACAGTCTGAATATTATAACCCCGTATAAACCAAGTTGCCTGTGAGGGGCTAGAAGGTTAAATAGTCACATGACTTATCCCACCGGGTACCCATTTTCTGCTGGGTGAACAGAGGCAAGTTTAGGCATGTGAGACCACATGTATCACATGTGCTTCATTGTGGAGCAGGACTGTGAAGTCCTAAACACTCTCAGGAGTCAGGCTGCCAAACACGGTTAAAAAAGATTTGTAGACGCCGTTAGGCATTTGAGACATTCACAAACATATAGACGTACCTTTATAAGACCCCGGGACTTTGAGGTGTGGGTTGTAGTTCAGGGTGGCGAAGTAGGTTTCATCAGGGACACCTGTCTTCTTGACCCACTCCAATAAGTCATGTGACACATTGTTGTGGAGTAGGTAGTCGACATACCCCCGGGTGGCAGCGATGTGAACGCCCCCTTTTCGTGGTCGGATTTTGTGCGGAGGGTCTCCACGGCCCTTCCATCTCCCAAGATTAGCCCTGTAAAATAAGGGGCTTAAATGTAACAACGTATGATATGGATTTACAACTTCTTAAATATTTACAACACGACTACTTCTTGCCCCTTCATCAGGTGAATGACAGAATATAATTACGAGCAACATATGGTATGACCAGAAATTATTGAGAATTTTAGGAATGTGTTTAATTGGATTTCTAGTATAAACAACCTTGACCAGCTATCAAGTACTTAGTTTCATTCAAGAGAGACAACTCCATTAATCCTTTTTCATTAGTTTGTGAAGAGTTATCCCCCTTTGTTTACTTGCTAGCAGACGACATTTTCAGTGATCCTCAGTATGGATGATTTAGAGAAGAGAAAGTTGATTTTAGAGTATTATAACAAGGACATCAGATCAGCTAAAGTGATTTCAAGTAGAACAGGCATCCCTTTGTCCACTGTTTATCGTGTTTTAAAAAATATTGCAAATGGATATGGCATTGAGCACCAGGGAGGCCCAGGTAGGCCCAGAAAATTGACGGTCGGTGACAGCAGGCGGCTTGGTATTCTTGTTTCTAAAAATAAACGAAGGAGTTTAGAAAACGTAAGGCTGGATATGATTGATAGAGGAACTGTGGCTGTCTGTAAGGAGACCATTAGAACTGAGCTGCATGCAATGGGTTGGCAAAAAAAGTCGAGGAATTTCATCACCGATCATGAAACCTGAAGAAAAGGAGCGAAGGTTGAACTGGTGCTTACAGCATAGACATTTTAACTGGGACAATGTGATTTTCTCAGATGAAAGTTCTGTGTGGCTGTTTCCTAATACAATGAAATTCTGGACCAAACAAACTGAAAAACCTTTGTATCAGCGCTCAAAGTACCGTCCGAAATTTAACGTGTGGGATGGCATATCTGTGTTAGGGGCAACCCCCCCACTGTGTATTTGAAGGGGAATATGAACAGTGAGCGGTACACAGATATTCTCGAGGGACATTTACTTCAATCTGCTCACGTGTTCTATTGGATTTTCCAGCAGGACAACGACCCAAAACATCGTTCAAAGCATTCACAGGCCTGGTTTCGGACCCAAAATATGATATTATTAGATTGGCCAAGCTATAGCCCTGACCTAAATCCAATAGAAAATCTTTGGGGACTTATGAAGGAAAGTGTCAATAAGAAAAATCTGACAAATATTGCTGAAATGAAAGAAGAGGTGGTCCGATATTGGGACAGCATGGACCACGACTTTCTAACGTTTTTGATCAGTAGCATGCCCCGCCGCATTGAAGCCTGCACTGCTGCCGATTGTGACTTGACAAAATACTACCTGTTCACTTGTCTTTGAATCTGGAGTTATGTTCTGCTAATATTCACATTTAATACGTCAGTTATGAGTGAAAAGAAAACAACAATCTTTAACTTCTCAATAATGTCTAGTTGTACTGTACATACGCCAGAGGCTTTGTGCTCTTTCATACGAGTACATATAGGACTGTATGTACTCGTATCAAAGAGCACAAAACATCGGTGAAAGACTCGGATACCATATGTTGTTATTTTAACTTCCAACTTCTAAAGGTCCATCAAGCATCTGACTTAAATGTATTTACTCGATTACTAGATTACTGGTAAACTTTCACAGACCACATGGTGGACAGTAACGGTTTTGGTCAAGGCCACAATTTTGCATCTGAGGAAAACCTTTGAATTAGTTGTACAAACGTGTACTGGTAGTGTGCCTTGCACTAGTGCCAGTTTCGTACATTCTAGCTTATCACATGATGGTGTGGTCTGGCTTCTGGCTGACGTGTTCAGAAATGGCAGTTTTCTGATGTTGTTTGTTGATAAATGTCGGATATGTAAGACGAGTACAGTGATGAGCCATAATTATGCCATAAAACGGCCGCCATGTTTAGGGGCAAAACTTATAGAGGGTCACTGAGTAAAGTAGAAATTAAAGCTTACTTACCCCTAAAATAAACTTTGGATGACTAATACTTTGTGATGTGACCTTTATTTATTCTCACAGCTCTTATTCTTCTTGGAACAGATGAGTATAGCACCTGAATATGATGCAAAAGTATTGACTGCCAAATCCTGATAATCTGGCTAGCTATTCTCGAAACGTTCGTAACCCTACGAACTTCTTAAGCCCATTCTTAACACATTGGCTACGATCAAAGTTAAGAATTCTTAGGGCTACGAACGTTTCGAGAATAAGGGCCCTGATGAAAAAGTCCCCCTTTGATTTGATGGTGTGTGAAATTCTCTGTAGCCTGATTTTGATCAGCAACCAGAGATTTTCAATGATGTTCAAGTCTGGTGATTGTGATGGCCGTGATAAACATTTGATTTCATTCGTAGTTTTCCAATCTTTTGTAAAACGAGACTCATGGCATGGGGCTTTGTCATCTTGGAAAAGATAATCACCATTTGTGAAGTGTTTGGCAATGACAGGAAACAGATTTTCGTCCAAAATAGATGCATACTTCTCACTGTTAATATGACCATGAACTTGGACCAGTGTACCAGCTCCATGGTAGGAAATGCACCCCCAAATCATCACAGACAGTCCTCCCCTTTGCTGAAAATCAGGGCACCTGCTGCCAACACAATATGGTCTGTACTCCTCACCAGACATTTTCCAAACAGAAATGTTGTTATTTTTCCCAAGAACAATTTGACTCTTATCACCAAATATCATTTTTGACCAATTAGTTTGAGTTTTCCAATGAAAATGTGTCCTACACCATGACATTCTCTTGTATCTGTTTATAGCACTTACTGTCAATTTCTTCCTCACTAATATTTTCCTGTAATTCAGCTTGTGGAGATGTCTTTGAACAGTCCTCTTACTTACTTTAGTTGGTAATGCCTCATTTACAATACATGTAATATCCCCAAGTGATCTTCAAAAGTGTCCTGTCTCCGCTCTCTGCCAAAACTGGAGGCCTACCACGTCTGGGCATGTTCTCATCATTATTTTCCACTTGAACTCTCTTTAAACTTTGGAAATGGTGCTTTGATCTCTCTGGACAGCATCTACAATGTCTGCCTGTTTAAATCCAACTAAATTCATCTCAGGAATGATTTTCCTGACCTCCTCTGACAAGCTTTTACTTCTCTACCCCATTTTGATTATTTGACCTTGAACTTGTTTACATGAAGCAGACGACGTGAAATTTGATCCCCCATCATTTTGTTGCTTGAGCGCACCAAGCATTTTAACTTGACCCCCACGTATTACTCACTGCTGCATGGCGGCCATTTTATGACATAATTATGGCACATCACTGTATATGGATGACAACTTCTTGTTTATTGTATAACACAACGTTTCTGTCCTACTTCTTGTCCCTTCTTCAGGTGTTTGATTCTTCCATCACCTGAAGAAGGGGCAAGAAGTAGCCTAGAAGTAGCCAAAGTTAAAGTTCATATTCACCAACTTCTAAATGCCTCTCAAGAATCTAAATGTCGGATGTTCTTTGAGTCTGATGTTGAAGGGTCTGGGTGTATTGGTGGCAAACTCTCAGACTCTAGGAACACCATACGGAGTTACCCTTTTCATTTTACGTCCGTTTGACACAAAGAGTGAGTGAGTTGAGATTTTAAGTCATGTGGGCAATTTTCAAACCATAACACAAGTTATAATTTCATAATAAATCAGGTTAATTATGAAAACCTGTCGGTGAAGGAAAGTAAAAAGAACTAGAATATCACAAATATAATTGTAAACCTAGTATGAAAACCTAAACTATGTTAACTGTGGAAGACAATACGATATAAAAACGTGCTACAGGTTATGCCGCTGTGCTACTAATCATTACTTAGATGTACTTAGATGTACCCGTGACTACAGGTAGCCTGGTCGACAGGTATTATTCCATTTTAAAAGTTCATTTATTGACAGAGTAGAAGTCTAAAGTAGAGTGGTCATTTAACATGGATGAATAGACTACTAATTATTAACATTATTTAACCCTTTGCGAGAATTGTCAAATAAAGCAATCAGTCTTTACAATATTTTGGAAAATCCAGGAATAATTATAACCATAGATGCAGATGTCTAATTTCGTCCATTCTTTTTAGCCCAAGGTAACATTGTTTAGGGTATCTATTTTCTTCCATACTGAATAATTTACCACCAATAGTTAGTTCATCTTATAATTGAATCAGGGTAGATATCATAACGACCACATTCAGTCAAGGCAGCAACATTTGTTGTATGAACACCAACACCCCGGACTTATTTACTAAATTGTATATGGAATCTTTCTAGGGTTACCCATTGATGGTAACCCCATATCTCTGACACCAAGTTGCGGGTATAGTACTTAACGTGCAGTATCATTGGACAAAATAATTTGACTATGTGTCCCAGTTCACCCAGCTGCACATGGGTACCTTGTGAGGATGAGACTGTGTGATAACCCGCTGCGCCTAGCAGGCTGCATGAGTTGAATACTCACCAGGGAGTTGAATTGGTTATAAGAATGCCAGGAAAAGAGACATCCGTTGATCAAGGGAACACTCAAGCGCCTTGAGCATGTACTGGTTGCGTGGATATGTACGCTATATAAATGTCCTATTATGTTATCGTCATCAGGAGCAGTGGACAATGTTTGGTGTTTTCTGAACAGTTTATAAAGGGTAATTGAACAGTTTATTTGAAAATAAAATACCTAAATATATAGCTAAGGTAGGTTGAAGTGTATAATCACAGACGATTTAATATCCATATTTCAGTCTTCTTCATTTCTACCCCCATTGCAGAAAACAAGTATCTCTGTTTTTTGTAAAATTTACCTTTAATCCCCACTTTGTACAACGTTTTGATAATACATATATTTACTTCTGTAAACCTATAACCGCATTAGATGACAGAATCATCAGCGAAAGGGCGTAAAAACAACTCAAAAAGGTCTGCTCCAATAAGAATACATCTTCAATCATACAACAGTAAATCTTCTTCGAACTTGATATACAAACATACTGAATACTATGGATTTAGGATACAGCCTTGTCAAAGTCCCCTTGGGGAGTTAAAATATATGTTAAATAATTTTACAGCTGAAATTGGTTTAATACATATCACGCACTATCGAAAGCATTTTACCAAGAATATTATTTTGAGCAAGAAACTCTATTTACACAATCCAATGCTTTATGGAAACCGTAAAATAAGCAATAGAATCGACAGTTTGACTTTGTCACATGTTTCTGGATTTGTGACTGTAGGATAAATACACTGTCAACAGTTGAATATCCAGCCCGAAAGTCAGCCTGACATTGTGGGTTCAACTTAAATAAATATTTCAAAATACTTGTTTACCTTTTACCTACTTAATCAATGCGGTTTTAATGATATAATTTTGTAACAAACGTCTACTTGCTCAAGGTAATTTTATAATTATAGTATTCAAAGATAAAGCAGATTGTTTACATTTTGTACATAACATGTAATTAAAGATGGGTTTCAGTTTGAGATTTTAGTCCTTACTACACTGATTTGAGGACAACATATCTACCGCAATATAACATATCGTAATGCCCGTAAATTTAAATTTAAGGAAGACTAATTATGCAGCTAAAAAAATGGTATGTGTATCCTCCATGTTTTTGTGTTCAGAAATATTGTATGATTGTATGCCATTATTGTTTTCTGACTTTGTACCAGGCCTGAGGGGTAGTACTGGAATAAAAAGACAGGGAAAAAAGATTGACTTACCCTTTATAACCTCCGTTAATATCGTTGGTGCCATTATAAGCTTCCAGTGCCCTGTATAATTCATAGTTAGTTTTCAATGGAAATTCCTGGCCTGTTAGGTTGATGAAATATTTCCAAAAAGTTTTATGTTTCCACAAAGCTTCCATACAAAGTAGCTCTGGTTCCAGCACTGTATATGTTCCCCACCGGACACTGACTTGCTTAGGGGGAAATAAGATATTGTCAAAGCATTTTCTTATTGAGTTTATTGCAGCTTTGAACATGTTACTAGATTTCGAATCTACATGTATACAGTATACGTTATGGGGTCGCCATACTGCTCGCAGCAGCCTCTCCACTTGTTCTGCATGTTTATACACCAGAATACTGAAGGCAATGGGAAACTGCCTTTCTCCGGGCGTCATGGTGCTGTTTATGAAACCCCGTGTTCTCTTATACTGTTCACAATCATTTGTCAGGGCAGGGTAAATTTCAGGTAAATAGCTTGAACGAAACTCCTTGGTCATAATTGCGTTTGCTTTTTTTATTTCGTCAGCATCACCAGCCACAAGCTTCTTACAGGAAATACCGTGTGTGCCCCGTGTTTGCCAATCAGCTGTTTGGTGTTGTAGGCGACCTATTCCGTTCAGTAACCAGTTTGAAATGTTGGAATGGTATCCGTGAAAGAAGAAATCAACATGTGAGCTCATCTGAATAATAGCAATCATCCCGACACCAAGCAGAATGAAAAATATCCGCTTCATCCAGATTTTGTTACAGTAGTCCTCCATGTCACTCTGTATTTCTCTGTCCAGTCACACCTAAATAATATGGAAGGTGAGATGGGGTTATATACAAGAATAGTATGTAGCACGGCACGAAAGACCCGGATTTTCTTAAATTTAATTGTGATAAGAAATATACGTATCATCCCAGTCCCATCTGACAAATGAAAAACGACTTGGGTATCCACTTTACTATACTTTACCCGTAAAGGCTGTGCATTTGTTAACCTAGATTTCATCAACGCAGTGCATTAAATATCCGATTATTAATGGCGTTTTGGGAAAGGATAATGTAAAGGTATTTAATATGACGTGAGACATAGACCGATGTTAAACGTCCGAGAATATCATTTCTACCCACTGGAAAACGTCGTTTGGGTGAGGTAAAAAACCCCAGCTCAACGTTGGTACTTGCAAAAGGGAAAGGCATTTTTAAAATATATTTGCAACAATGCAATTCATTTCATATAATGAAATCAACAACATCCTCTAATTATTCAGGCAAATAAATATAATACAACAATTACTGATTCCCTTCTTCACGTTTTATGGCATGACTATCCACACTGTGTACTGGTGATCATTCATGACATTTTACTGTGATAGTTAGCATTAGAAGCTGTTAGATATATTAATTTTCATTAATGTTTTATTTAAATATCCATATACTGATAAGCCCTCAAACTGATACGGTTTATTTAAAATGAATAACATCAGAAACATTACGTTTGAGATGATTTCATCATGTGTTCGATTTTCAATTGAAAGTATATTACCTAACATGTACGTTAGCTATATGACAATATAACTGAACTGTACAGGCGCTTAACACAACTCAGATAATGGTTCCACGTGGTTTTAGTTTATATAGGATCGTTTGACTTAAACGTAAATCGCAAAACACACACTGCTGATGGGTGCCTCGAACATCTTATCTTGTTCTAACCAATATGTTAGGCTTCGTAGTCGTCACGTTCAACGTCGTCACCTACAGGGTAAATTGTTGAATGGAACAGCTGATAACAACAAAAACGTGGAAAACCTACTTTTTGTAAATAAGAAAGTACAAAGTGCGATTTACTCTCCGATTATGAGCATGGCTATGTTATCGGTTATTTTATGAGAGTAATCATGCAGTTCTTGATCACATAAATGTCAATATACAAAGGGAATATAAATGGATCGAAGCTGAGAAACAGTAATGTATTGAAGCGCTCCGGATTTCCAAGATATAATCTGAACTCTGTAATAGCATTTTGGGTCAACCAGACACATTCACATCCATTCTGGAATAGCGGGAAAGGCACCTACTATTGGTTTATGTGGCTAACACTAAAGCTACGTAAGATATATGACTCACCAGAAACCTGTGCGAACTACATACGGTTGATACAAAGAACATGTATGTCACAGTCTCAGTTCACAGTTAAGAAAGGCGTTTAGGGCGATACGCAGCGCTGATGTTCTATGGTTGACTGTCATAAAGCAGAAATTCGAAAGATTACTCGCTGAGGAGTTAGTGACACTGAGCAAAACAAATACAAAGCATTCTGAAAAAAAACCATTCGAAAAGCTAATCTGGAAATTGTGATCTTGTGGAATATTTCTGTGATTTAGCAAACCCGAGTGATATAACAGATGTAGGTGAGGTGAGGTGAAATTGGGTTTTACGTCGTGCTTGAGAATATTTCGCTCATATGACGACGTGCATGCGTGTGTATGTGTATGTGCGGCTGCTTGTACTTGCCCAGACTTTTTAGTGCTAGCCCACTGAGATACCATGCCGCAGTGAAGCATAAATACCCCACTCAGACACATTATACTGACTCCGAGCCAACCAGTCCTTATTGTACCCATTAATGCCGAGCGCCAGACAGGGACCAACAAGTACCATATTTTAACGTCTTTTTGGTATGACGCGGTCGGGGATCCAACCCGCGACCTTCCACTCACCGGGCGGACGCTCTAACGACTACACCACGGAGGCGGTCTATAACAGATGTAGATGACAAGATGAAAGGTGATATGGGTAGTTCACACAAAGATAATATTATCCAATACTAGACAAAGAACTAGACTATAATATTACATTGCACCAATCAATCGTGTCATTAAATGTAGTAAAACTCCTGGGTACAATAATGTCATTAATGGTTTTCTTACTGAAGGTAACCATGAAGGGTGATCCGGGTTAGAATTGATCATCAGTAACCCATGCTTGTCGTAAAAAGGCGACTAACGGATCGGGTGGTCAGGCTAGCTGAATTGGTTGACACATGTCATCGTATCCCAATTGCGCAGATCGATGCTCTTGCTGTTGATCACTCGATTGTCTGATCTAGACTCGATTATTTACAGACCGCCGCCATATAGCTGGACTATTGCTGAGTGCGGCGTAAAACTAAACTCACTCACTCTAACTAATGGTATTGGTTTCTTTCTTTTTTTATTAGTGCTACGTAATTGCATATTATCAACAGGTTATTTCCAAGTGTCATATTTGTCATTCACCAGAAAGGCTCAAAATAAATTGACTATATTTATTGAAATACGTGCTATTGATCTGCACAAGGTTTTCGATTATATCAACGGGGGTTGGAGCATTATGGTGAAAGCTTGATAATATGGGTGTCCAAAACTATTGATGTTACTAATATCATATCATGTAATAGCATATGTATGGCGGTAGTAAGTCATGTGTAAAGAATTTAGATGGTATTTAAGGAAAGATTTTCTGTCGTTCCATGGCTGTCACCTATAATATTTCCTTCTGATGGTTACAGGAATGATCAATATGTGAAAATCTAGGTGTCGTGATAGATAATAATTGTATATTACTCATACTAGTTGTAGACCATGTAGTACTTACAAAATAATCCATTCAGGTACTCAGCAAAGAAAGAAAAATGATTGTACAATGGAGGTATCTTGTGTCCTCATATAAATATCTAGGGAGTTTGTTTTCTCCAAGCGCTGTGACTCCACAGTGGGTTGTGACTATTTAAGTCTCCAAAGAGCAAGAGAGACAAGATTACCGAGACCGTTGAAGCATGTGGAATATGCAAACACAATAGGGGTTTCACAAGTAAATTTATACGGTCAGTAGCGAGTGTCTATTGATGCAAACTTGTCACATTCGCCTCATTGATGCCACTAAACGTCGATGAAAGTCCGTGGTAGGATCAATCCATATCTGAGGAAGGATTCGGCCGAGTTCCTGCAGTGTTGTTAAAGGGTTCGGATGACAACGTAAACGTCACTCAGTTTCATCTCAGACGTGTTCAGTGAAAGACAAATTTGGAAATCGTGCGGGCCAGGGTAACGCATGAACATTGTTCTGATTAAAATGCTGCTGCATAACTCGAGCAACATGTGATCTGGCGTTATCTTGTTGAAACGTCACCCCAGAGCCGTTCTGTTGCAAAGCGGCCATTTGCAAACTCTCGCCTCAGTACCCAAGTATACAAAATGAAATTTCAACTGTCTCCTTCTTGGACCGGGGATCTGCTGTTCAAGTTTCTCGAACAAAAGAAAAATATTGTGTTTAGGGCATTTCGTCCTTGCCATTAGCTTCATCCATAGGGGCGTGGCTCGCTTAGAAACAGCGTTAGAAGTACATATAGGTATATAGACCTATGAAGTAATAGGGTAAGGTCTATGTACATATATGCCTTTCTAACGCTGTTTCTAAGCGAGACACGCCCCTATGATCTCATGTCTCCTCAAGAGAAGGAGAAAACTACGTCAGAGATAAAATCAGGAACATACACCACAGTCACGTGGAAATATAAATATGCATAAAATTTGTTCCACATCCCCTGATTGTCTTGTCAAAATTCGGTTGCTGCGCGGCGAATTCAATTGGGCAAGTGGCACTACCTGAGGAACAGGAGGTGGGGTCATTATTTCAGTGATCTATTCACATAATGTTCACCGGTACTCTGTCTTTGACGCCCAGTGGAATAAATTTTGGGAGATAATTATTCACATTCTCTGGCATTAACGTTTGACATTACCCTCACTGGAAACATTATATCTCGAACACGAATAGGTTTCACGCTGTACTACGGTTGGGCATAAGAACGGCGTATTCGTTGTGACGAGCCAACACGAATTCAACCCACTTGGTTTCCCCACTGCCGTTTCCCTGCTGCCCTATTGTATTCATGTTTATACAATAAACACTAAAAGCAATTATTCGAAACTATGTTTTTTCTTTGTTCGCAACTTACTTACTTCCCTCGGAAGCTTTACAACAACGTTTTTCTACACCCGTATTAAATTACATTTGTGACGTCATTCCATTGTCTGTTCGCTCCATTACTTTTCAGGAATGGAGCGATGTGTACCAGTTTCAAAATAAAACCTTCATTTTGTCATTTTGACATTTAATTTTGATAACAGAAATATTCCCAATACTTCGAATGTAATTTAAGTAGGGTAATATCTTCGTAACTCTCCATTCCTTAAAAATAATGTGCCTCGAGAGTTACTCGGACATTACCCTCTACATATTAGAGCAGTTTACTAATGGCATGATGACCACATGTGAGTTAATGGCGATTTGATAATGTTACAGAAATCCCATGAGCAAAAAAACATACATAATTTGATTACCTTGAGAAGTACGATGTAGAATGTTAATAAGTATCCTTCTATCAGTGACTGCTCCGAGAGTTGTTATGGCTACGAAGCCTGTTGTATCAATTATTAATACGTCGGGTAGAAATATGATCCGTTTCAAAACTGGCTTTGCAGTCGTGCACATCGATATGTAAAATGTTAGTTTAACTGTTAGTGATTGTCAACGGATCATGAATTCATGATGAGGTTGATATATAATGATAAAAGTAAAATGTAACAAACCTTACACCCATGCACACACGATGTTCATCTTTCGCCACACAATAGACGACAGGGTGTACTGAAATAGCATCAAGCAAGGGAATACATTTCCACGACTGGAAATATAAGATGATGTACTGACGATGTTCACCTTTCGCCACACAATAGACGACAGGGTGTACTGAAATAGCATCA